GTCTCACAAGTTAAGGCATTCCTCCTGCTTCTCCTCCAGCTTTTCTCACCCCAGTGACTCCGTTCCCAGCTCCCCTACCCACTGCTGACCCACAGCAGAATGAGTCTGGCTACCCAGGGGAAAATCAGAGCCCTAGATGACTCCAGAAAGGGAGGCATCAGGAAGAGAATAAAATTGTGTGAAGGATAAGACTGTCCTCACTAAGATCCAAATCTTGACTTTGTGTTAATGCCTAAAGATTGTCTGTGCCCTAGAAATACATTCTAAGCCCCACCAGTATGTTCCGGACTGTTGCATATCAGTGGTAAACTGTCTGACCATTTTTGCTGCTGTGATCACCCACAATTTCATTTGTCTTGTACCCAGGCAAAAGGGGGAGGATGAATGGGACTGGCTGTGGTCCCTTCAAATGTTAACTTATGAAAACCCTAGTTCAGATGGTAATGTCGCAGTGTTTTGTATGCAGATAGGGAACAGTCATACTGACAGCTATTTATTCCCGTGTGTGTGTGTGTGTGTGTGTGTGTGTGTGTGTGTGTCTTTCGCGCCCTTGAGTTCTCTGTTTCTACTGTGTATGTGAGTGGTAACGTGAGACTCAGTACTGGTGTTGTGATTTTGACCTAGAGCCTGAGTGTTACTGCTGATCTTGGCACTCGCTGGCACAGTGGTAGAGGTGAAAAGTTCATTTGTTGAGCCCAGGGGACATAGCGCTAGGAGCCCTCTGAGCTGGACATGCAGTAGAAGAAAGTTGGTATTTAGCTCACCCTCCCATGCAGCTAGAATTCAGAAAGCTTGGGGTTTCTATGGAGGAGAGAAGTGCCCACTCTGGGGGTCCTGGCCCTCACATGCCCAGTGGACCATTTTACTATAATTCCCCCCAAAGACCAGCCCAGTCTAAAGTTATGTACAACTCAACTTGCATTCCTCTTCAAGTCCTGCATCCACTTCACTTTGGCTGATTTGAGGCTCTGGGCGGGTTCTGAGGGACAAACAGAAGCAGGGTCCCCAGGGCTACATGTAGATACCTCACCAAGGCTGGAGGTGGGTCTGTTGTAAGATGTAAAGACAGCTGGGTTGGATTCTAACTTAGCCAGTGGACACCTTGGCACATTTGTTATCTCTGTCTGCAGGTAGGCTAGCTGGCCCATCTCCTTGAATTGTTCCCTTTGGGAAACCCAATTCACAGTATTGATCTCCTTTTTTGCCTTGTACTGAATAACACATTACCTCCACGCTCTCCCGGACTAAGCGGTCCACAGGGCCACAGGGTTGCTTTCTCTCTTTTGTGGGGATGGGGAGTTGACAGGGATGAGGGTTCAAGGAATGAGCATGAATGACAAGAAAACAAGGGGAACATTAAGCTTTTCTGGAGTGTGTGGTTAAAGATATTTGACCATTCACTGGCTGAGCCAGATCACAGGAACTCGAGAGCTTTTACTGTGATTCTTCAATGTAAAAAATAAAACAATGTCAGACTGTGTTTATATGATTTGTATAAAGCCTTTTTAAGATTACTATTTAAATAAATGTTATACCAGAACTATTTCTCCCGCGTTGTCTTTATTGAGGACAAAGAGAGCTGGGACTTGAGTGACCAGATTGTCCCATGTGCTGGAGACTTGTCTGGTTTTACCACTCACAGTTTTATGTCCTGGGAAATACTTCATGTCAGTCATCTTGGACAGCTCTAACAGGATACTGAAGATCAGGATACAGTAGCGACTTATATTTAACCAATTAATGCTCTTAGTGCTGGAAGTTGAGACCAAGTTCAAGCAACTACCAGCACACTTAGTGTCTCCCTAATTTGTAGACAGCTATCTTCCCTTCATGTACCATCTGGTTTTTCCTTCGAGAGTTTCTGTCTGTTTCTTCTTCTAAGAGTATTAATCTCATCCTTGCAACCCAGTATAAACCTATTATCAAAGACCCCATGACTCCGAATACCATCTCAGAGGAAGGTAGACTCTCAAAATACACATTTGGAGAGAATACAACCCCTTTAATTGTGAATGAACTGAGATGGTTGGTCATTCTCTTAGGCTATCACTTGACATTAGACTTAGTAGGCTGTACAAATTGTTGGCATTTTATAAAATGAAGATATTCTGAAGTCAACAATGGCTCATCCAGCCAGGCGAAACACCTAACTAACTGCAGGTCTTTCCTGGTGGACTTTGGGAGTCTCCCATCCCTCCTACTATTCCTCCTTCATTGGCTCTGCCATCGAAGACTCTCTGCTGCTCCCTTTCTTCTAGGACTTGATTCTCAACCTCTCTGATGGCCTTAAGGCTTAGGAGAGATCTCCAGGCGTGGCCCTGGGCCAGAAGCACTGGCATCAGTTGGCACTTACTTGAGGTGCATCCTTTGGGTTCTATCCCGGATCTAATGAATTAGAAACTCAGAGGACAGAGCCTAGGCGGTCTCTATTTCAGAGAGCCCACCATGGAATCCTATTGCTCTTTCTGTTCTAGGAACCACTGGTCTCTAGTCTGGGTATTATTCTATAATTCAATATATGAGTTCCAAATGTTTTCTTCCATTCTATGAGTTGTGTTTTCATTTAGTTTTTATTTTTCAATTATTTCTTTTGGGTTTTGAAATTCTAGTTACATCATTTCCCCCTTCCCTTTCCTCTATGCTCTCTTTTAAATTTATAGTCCCTTTTTTATTAACTGTTGTTACATGCATATGTGTACACACATACATATTCCTAAATACAACCAGCTCTGTCTGTATAACGTTACTTGCATGTGTGTTTTCAGGGCTGACTCTTTGGTATTGAATAACCAATCAGTGAGCTCTTCCCCGGGGAAGACTATTTCTCCTGCTCTCAGCATTCCTTAATAATCTGTAGTTCTCTGTGTAGGGTTTAGACTGTGTGCTCTTCCCCCCAACCACACTAGCATGTCTATCGGTGTTGTCCTGTTCAGATCATTTTTAGGGAGTCATGTTGCTGAGACTTTATGGGCATAGCTTCTGACATTACTAGGAGAGACAATCTCACAGCAGACTCCCTGATCCTCTGGCTCTTACAAACCTCTTCCACAATATTCCCTCTTTAGGTACAGGAGTGTTTTATGGCTATGTCCCTGACTGAACTCCACAACTCTACATTTTGATTGGTTGTGGTTTTCTGTAATGGTCTCCATCAATTTTGAAGGGGCGTTTCTTTGCTGAGAGGTTTACACTTCCCTGTGGATTCAGCACCCTCTTCTGGCAACCACAGACACCTGCACACATGAGCACACAGAGACATCTCCACATGCACATAAATAAATAATAAAGACAAATCTTTAAAAAGGGAATAAAATCCTGATGTTCAATTGAATAAATAAAAATACCCATACAATGGAATATAATTTGGCTAGAGAGGGAATAAAGTATCAACACACAGCAAACCAACCAAACAAACCTATCACAAACCTAAAGAAAATGAACATCCTGGGTCAAGAGATGGAGGGTTATGAGGAGCTGGGAGATTACAGAAGAGGCTTAGACCCAGGGACAGATTCAATGCCATACTTTATCCATTCTGGATAAGAGCACATGCTCTCCATCCAAAAACATTTATATAGACTCATACAAGTGACTTCTCGCCAGAACTGGTTACATAACAACCATGGTTATTGATTTACTTGTTCTCCGAGATATTCGGCAGCTGCCATGTTAACTAGGTCATTCTGGACAGTAGCATGTTGTCTAGACATTGATCCAGTTCTTAGGCTTCTTGGGCTTCTAGTCCCTGCATCCTACATCTGTTTCTTCGTGGGAAACCATAGCCTGCAACAACAGAAAACGAAACAACATGTGACCTGTAACCAGGCTGTACACCTCTGTAGGTTAGCATGGTCCATGGTAGAGTCATGGAGCCTATCTTGACACTGTTCTAAAGGGCTCTCCAGTCGGCTATTGGATTGTCTGGACTGCTGCATCTATGTCTCATGAGGTAGATGTTACATATCTTTGATGATCACAGGTAATATCTTACAACACCTGGTCTCACAAAGGGATTCGAAACAACCCAGACTTTGAACAATGAAGGCAAAAGGAAGCCAGATACACTCCAAGGCAGAACTGTTATGTTCCCACAGAGGATGACTCACCAAGCATAGCCAGGTAGAGTTTTACCATGACCCCCGCCCTGAGGAAGCTGTAAACCAGAGCTGAATTTACCTCATCCCAGTGCTCTACACACACACACACACACACACACACACACCAAAAAGGAAATTTGACCAGATTGTTTTATTTAAGAAATGTTTTCAAGCACTTCCTGACTTTTTACACTCCTGTCGGGGGAGGGGGGACAAATATCGAGTCACACACCACACACAG